AATAAACATAACTCAATTATTGCTTCTTAATTATTCTTGAAAAAACTTCGATTTAATTTTTTTTAACACGTGTCTTTATTTCTGGCGATGACGCAATCTGTGCGTACCTGATAGATTCGAGATCACGTGACGGAAAACAATCCCGTCTTTTGACTTCACCGTATGCTAAGGGTTTATGAGTAGAGTAGGGTATCAGAAACCCTTGGCTAGCAAGATGTACTTTTTATTGTTTTGTTATTTTTTTGAAAAAAAAAAAATTCATGCCAATAGTGTATGATTTGCAACATTTATAAGTTATAACATGTAAAGATGGGATTTGGTCTGTGTGGAAGTAAAACCCTTGTCATTGAAAATCAAAATGTATCATATTTTTTATTTAATAATTGGATAACAAACGAAAGTGTCCTGATTTTTGAAAATAAACACCACAATGTATTCCATCATTTCATTCTCGTAGTTCTGTACATTTATTTTATTTGAAATAAAGGAAAAAAAAAAATTATGTGTCATTTTCATGCAGTTTGTGCATGCAGGTAACACAATTATATAATATACTTTATCGACAAGGGAAAATTTTAACACCTAATGAACCTATGTTTTTCATTTTCTGTCTAAGTACATTTAAAATACTAGACTAAGTACTTGAAAAAATTTATATGCTTGTATTTAAATAATAATAATAATATGATATAAAAAGTTACGGAAGCCCGTTGCTGTCTACGAAAGCCCGTTGAGGCCAGTTTAAAAAAAGAAATATTTTTCATTGCGTTTAATCACAATAATATTTGCGTTTCATCTTACAAAATTGTTATGCAAAATAAACTGAATCCTCACGTCATAGAAATATTACTTACCATTTCACCGCAAGCACTTTCTAGCGGGGTAAAGTTTCTCTAAATTTTAGCATAAATAATATCATGACGTAATATTTTAATTAGAAAATAATTTTTCTTATTTTATGAGATTAATCAAGTATGAAATAGTTGGAATTTGGCAATAAATTGAAGATTTAATGAACTTTTTAAAGTGCGTGAAAATGCGGATTGCGGGAAAACGGTAAATGCGTGATTTTGCGTCAGAAATAGGAAATGGGATATGAGTTAAAATGCGTGACTGCGGGGAAGGGGGTTAATCCAATAATCAAAACGTTTATACGCAAAGCACTTTGCGTTTATTCGCAAAAGATTGCGTTTAAACGCAATAATTTTGCGTTTAAACCAATAATTTTTTTTAAGAACCCTCTCTACACTGCACACTAAAGAGTTCTATTCTATGGGGTTTTTTTTGCAGTTAGAGTGATCTGCCCTTAACTAAATTCTTAAAATTAGAAATTCACAGTTTATTACACAATTTGTAATCAATTCAATTTTTTCTCAATACCCAAAAAAAACATTTTGTACTGGTGTAATAATAATAATATGTACATGTACAAATACGTAAGTCTTAACATTTCATTTAAGATTTCATCAGTCTTTTCCCTTTAACCCCTTTACACATGGTTTAAACTTTGTGACCGCAATGTAGGGTGTCAAAATGTCAAAAATTATTTTGCGGGGCATTTGACATTTCATAATTTTAAAACAATTCACTCTATAAAAACTATATATTATTCAATCGGTAATTGTCACTTAATACATTTTAACAAAAATTTTTTTTAAATTGTGATGTTGCTCAATCCGAATACTTTGAACGCGTTCTTCAAAATGCAAGACAGAGATGTAGATAAGAAGAAATATGGAAGGAACATGAAATGTCATCGGTAACTTAATAAAATAATTTCATGAGAAAAATCAATTTTGAAATTGCATGTCAATGATCCTTTTTGTGTGAAGTAATAATTTTAAATAAAGGGGCTTTGTGTCAATATGTATGTTGGGTTTCTGATATTAAGCCGATTTATTGTGGGGACATTGAATAAGATGGCGTGTCACAAAGTTTGGAGGTTCAATGTCACAAATATTCGAAAATGGCAAATTTTATAATGTTTGATGAAAATTTGAAGTTGAAAATTATTTTAAATTCTACAAAATGTTGCCATGTTATTAAGGTAAAGATCTCTAAACAAATTTTTAAATTTTGTTTGAATTTTAATACTTGCCTGTCACATATATATACTACATGTAGCTATACGTCACAATTGAATTTGATGGCAAAAACGTCACATTTAAATGCTACACTAAATCAAATACCTTCATTTTAAAAAGTCATTTTTCTTTACACCACACAACATTTAATACAAAATGTGCAAAATAAAAACTTTATTTAGATATGAAAATGAATTGATTCTATAAAGAAATGTTTGTTTTAGAGGTCTTTTACAATGTCAACATAAATGTCACACACTGTCCAAAAGTAATAAATCTAACTGAAATTGTATAAATGTGGTGACATGATTCATGAATCATATTGTAACATATTGAAAATTAGAGGATTTTTATGGAATGTGCATTTTTTTTCAAAATTAAGTTATTGGATATTCCAAAATAATTTCAATAGAACTGTGACAAAATCCTAGCAAAATATTATTGCGATTAAACGCAAAAGATTGCATTAAAACCCAACAGGTGATGCCGAATATGTGTCAAAAGGCTCATAGGTCGTTAAGGGGTTGGACAACAAACTTTAAGTTTTTTTATTTAAATGCCCGTGGTCACATGTCTTTTTTTGTCAGGGAATTCGAACCCACTTACAATTGTATTTACCGATATATAAAAAAGAAGTACAAACGTAAATCGCCTTACAGTATTGCTTTGAGAAACCAAAATTATATTTATTTAATAGATGAATTGCTTGTAATAGTAAACATAAAATAACAGAATAAAAATCTAGTAGATTGCATTTTAGCTAGGAAATGCATGTTCTTTGTGCCTTTCCGATCGTCTGTAGATTTGTTTTTTTTTCCAAACTAAAATTCTTGTAGTTTCCATATCACCCACAATGCAATTCTCATTCTCGTTTAGCCGATTTGTCATGCAGCTAAAGCCATGTAGATACCTAATTTGTTTAAAATTCCCCCAAAGAATATAGTCCCACTTCCAGTGCAAGTAGGTCTGTCCAAAAAGATTTTTTTTTACTAAACTACAGAAAACTAAAAACATTGAGATGGTGGCCATCTAAAAGAGCCCCGCTTTCAGCAATGAACATTGGCACGAAAATTACCAATGTAACCTCTATAAAAAAAAACACAAAAACACAATGTGGCATTTTCTTTTGAAAAATTTTTGTATATCCTCTATCAAAAATGGAAAAAAAAAATTATAAAGTTTAAGACCTACTGAACTTAAGGGATTATGCACCGAACGAAGATTTTAAACAGAGAGGTTACTAGTATTTTTGAGAGGAGATATGCTCTGGACAAGAGCTCATGGAAGGACAGACTGCTCAGTATGGGCGCTTGCATAATGGGGCCCTTAAATGTCATAAAGAGTACATGTATTTATATACAATTGCCAATGCAAATTCATTTTGATAAAATAACTAATCTGTGGAACCTCATTCTTTAACATTTCCGTGTACTGTCGTGAACCAAACTCACAATGATTGTACTATCGCAGAATTTCGAGAAACCGCCTTCACTCTCCATTTTCATAAACAACAAAACACTGAGGTATGTTGCACTTTGTCACTAATTTGATTTAATTATAGAAAATACTTGTAATTAATTATGTATTAATACGCAAGTTTCGAGATTATTCCCTTTGGGTGGCTTTTTGTTGAGGAGGGGATTTTGGGTTTCCGCGTAAACAAACAGGTGGGACAGTTATTTATCATTGGATATATCGCATCATCAATTTACTGGTTTATCGTAACTAATTTGTAAGGATGCACTGTTCAACTTGAGAATAATCGAATTAAAGTATAGGTGTCATTTTTTAAAGTAAAAATTCAAAACAAAAAGAAAATTCAGTGGATGTAGATTTTCAGACGAGGGAAGAGATATATGGACCTCTAATAAATACGGTAAACATGAAACTGATCATTACATGTCGGCAATCTAAATGACACATTGATTTTTTCCCTTATGATAACTTCAAAAAACCCAATAACGTTTGAGAAAATGTTTGACGTATATACACTCAAGAAAATCTTTTAGTTTTTATAAAGACCACGACGTTTATTACGTTTTCAAGTACCCTAGCTATAATTGAAAGTAGATATGTAAATATTCACAGCTGAGCTTGATTATAAAATGCATCACTGTTTAACATTTTTATCTTTCTATAACAGTAAATAAATTTTAAAAGCCATAAACATCGTTCATTTATTTATAGTTTGTATACATAAACAAACTGCCCCACCTCCTTGCTGAAATGGATACTTTTTGCGCCTCTATCGCGGGAGATTTACAATCTCAAACTGGCGTATTGGTCAAGAAATCCATAAAATTATTAATTAACAACTTATTATCTGTATCAAAAAATTAATTCTTAACAGAATAAACCCGAATTATGAATATGATTGATATGTACACATTGATTACATAATATATGGCGTTTTGATTATATATTATTATTATATAATATATAAATTGATTATATAATATAAAAACCTTCTTGTGGTCTGAAACCGCCAAGTACTTGAGTGAATATATACTTTAAATGAAATACTATATAATCAAGTTCATACCCCAAAGTCTGAGTTCTTTTCTACAGGTTGGTGAAAACTGAAACGTGACATAACTATTCTCTTTACCATATCTCCACTTGCTAGTCACTTCCAAGCCACATTTTCGTGAAAATTTATTTATCTTTTGTAGCTATAGTCTTGCTAAATCTCACCAGAGGTACTGCTTTTGTCGTGAAGATGCAGGAAAATCCCTCGGTCTTGAAATGTTGTCTGAAATATAAAAGCCTCCTTTGACTAATGCATCGACTTTTTACTTTCAAAAAAATTTCTCGACTTCGGAAGTTATTCTGCAACTTCCGAAAACGCAACTTTATTTCTTTAAAAAAATATTTGAAGTAAATAAGTAGCTTTAAATTTTTGTCCCCATTATATTTCTAAATCACAAATCTATTTAAGATATTTAATTTTCTTAATTTTCCACACCACTCAGCTACAAAAAATTTGTCTTTTTTGTCCACACATAATCCCAATGGCTCCTTCAGATCACAGTTATCTATACAACGAAGAAACTGTCCGTCCTGGTTTAGGATGTGGATATTGTGGTTATGATAGTCTGCTACCAGGATCTGACTCTGGCTGTCTGTTGTTATACCACGGGGTTTAAACAGATTAATCTTTGTAGTAGAACGATGACCGGTGTATTGAAATTGGCGTTTTCCGGCTTGATTGACCACTACCACAGCACTAGCTCCTACGTCAGCCACACAGATATCAAGGTTTCTGTTCTCACTGATATACTTTATTTTGCTATTTTCTGAATACAGAGGTTTACCCTCATCATCAAACTGGATTGTTTTTTTCTCTGTGGAGCCTGAGTAACGGACAACTTTAGATTGTGTTTTATCATCACTGTACATAGTAACCAGGATATCACTAGAGGAGGTGTCACAGAGATTGAGAGGTACCCAGCCCTAGTCTATCACCTCCTCCGTCTGTCCATTTTTCACTTTATTCACACTCTTTGTCTTCCAGTCAGGACACTAAATCCTCCTCACCTGTCACTGCTATATCACCAGGCCATTCCCCTGATTTTGTTTGGATTGTCATTAAAAGTGAGCCTTGATTAATAAAGCATTTCATAACACTGTCCATTCCACTTGTCCAGATTTCTACTTCACTGAGATTGGCACATACGGAGGTTATCAAACCCAGTATTTATCGTGGTGATAAGTTCTATTCTTCCAGCAGTTCTCTAGTTGATTGCTCTGAGTTTTTCAATGTATAACCATTTTTTTCTGTTGTGGTGCATAATGGTGTTAAAAATCCAAATAATTTATAAAGATGTTCTGAATCTTTTGACTTTGGACTGAATGTTGGTAGTGATACCTTAATTTTGGAAGGAAGTGTGCTCAATTCTCTGATATTGGAACTGTATTCCATAGTCATAGACACTTCATTAGATTATCAATTCTGATTAGTTTTAGCAGGTTGTTTAATAAGAGTCTGTATCTGTTTAATTTCATCTAAATGTTTCTTCAGAATGCTCATATGTTTATTTTTTATCTCTTCAATTTCTGTTTTCATTTTTTTCACAATGTTATCAATTTCTTTGTGCCATTCTTTTCCATGTTCTGTAACTGCTTCTGTAAGTTTTCCATATTCTCCATCAATATTAGCTAACTGAGCTTCCAAATCAGTGGCAATTTCTTCATAGGTTGGAGAAATTTAGTTTCTAATTCTTCAGTATCTTTCTCTATGAGTTCTCTCTTTGAAAGAAATATATCTAAAAGAATTGTAATGGTATGCCCCTTATGTTTATCTAATATTACACAAAGAACACACAGATATATTACACTTTGTACATTGAAATTTACATCTCTTTGTTTGTGTGCTGTGCACTTGGAATAAATCAAGGTTGATTTTCTTATTTGAATTGGGACCACTTTATGTTTGTCATAACCATCAGAAATATGTTTTCCTACCAGGAAAACACAGATTGACATGACAGTAATCACAATAGTTTTGTGAATGTCCTCACAAAGGTCACATCGGGCGACATCTTGGGCACTGTGGGGGGGATCCATGTCCAGATCTAAAATTTGAATGATTTGTCATTATAAAGAACCCAATCTGTTAAAGATCAGCTAAAACCAAAATGTAAATATTATCTACAATGAAAGTTCATTAGATTTTAACCTTATATGTTCGTTGATACAGTGAATTTGTTTAAAAGTAGAATTTATGCGATATAGTATTAGAGGATTATGTCTCCATCCCTTTATCAGTTTCTGAAGAAAAATTTCCCCATTTATTTACCTACCCCAATTTTTACCCTAGTTAAGAGAGCTGGGTCAAACAGACATTATTTTTAAATTTCTGTCTTGCATTTCATTTACTATTTCTAGACATTTAATATGCTTTCATTATAAAGGTGATGCAAATGGTAACTTTCGCTATATGCGACTATGGATAAAAAGTGCTGAAGCCTTTTTTTCATAAATGAAATAATTATACAAACAGAGGTTATAATCTTATCAACGAAAATGGTTATTGGATACATTCTATGCTATAATTTAAATTGTTTAAAAAAAAGAGGCCCACGGGCCTATAGGGCCTGATAGGTACCTGAGTATATGTAATAACTTTCCAACTGAATTTGGTTCTGTTTTAAACCAGAGGCCATGAAATTCACAGTTTTGAAAGAGGCACCATTGCTTATCATAATTATAAACTTAGCATGCTTACTCTATTTACGTAATACCCAGAGGTAGATCAGATTAAAAAAAAAAAAAATGCATTCCATTTTAACCAGTTGTGCACCCTACCCCAAAGGAACCACTGACCCGGGAGCCACATATTTCAAAATTTTAAATTTTTCATAAATTATATTTCAACATAAATGGTTGATGATGCATATGAGAATAACCTTATGTCTATTACACAGAGACATGGTATAATAACACTTTTACCAAAGGGGGATAAGTCAAGAAAATTTCTAAAAACTGGCGGCCAATAATACTCCAGATACTGATACAAAATTGCATTAGGTACTATTGCTAACAGAATAAAAAATAAACTTGTCAAATTGAAAAAGTGATCAAACGGGATTTATTTAAATAGGTACATAGGAGAAAATACACGTTTGATTTATGATATAATGCAGTACACAGTAGAAGAAAATATACAATATACAGGCTTGTTACTTTTGATTGACTTCGAGAAAGCTTTTAACTTTTCCATGGAATTTTCCCCAGAATTCCTTGCATTTTTTTTTAATTTTGGCCCCTTAATACAAAAATGGATGAAACTGTTTTATACTAATATAAGTTCCACAATTCATAAAAGTGGTAATTTTTCACAAAGATTTAATATACAGAGAGGATGTAGACAAGGGGATCCTCATCACCCTATATCTTTATCTTGTGTGCACAGGAAAAAAATCAAAACAAAAAAAATCAAGGGATTCACTGTTAAAAACATGGAAAATAAAATATCCCAATTAGCAGAAGACACGTACTCAATTTTTTAACGGTAGCAAAGAATCATTGACAGAAGTGATGAAAACATTAAAGAAATTTTCCGAAATGTCTGGTTTATATATCAACTGTTCAAAATCTCATGCAGTTTGGACTGGTTCCAAAAGATTTAGTCAAGAAATACTAAGTCATGAGTATAATCTTAAGTGGGGATATGCAAGATTTACCTTACTTGGAATTCATTTTGATGTTGATTTGAATGAAGTTGTAAGACTCAATTATGAACCAAAATTAAGACAAATAAAAGATATAATTAGTCAGTGAAGTAAGAAATTTGACACCTATTGGAAAAATAACGTTTTTAAAACTCTTTTACCGCTGCTTAACCATATACTAATGGCTATTCCTAATCCACCAGTCTGAGAAAACCTTTTAAAGGGAAATTTGGGAAAAAATTTTTTTTCTATTTGTATGGAAGGTCCACAACACAGAGTAAAGAAAGATGTCTTAGTAAAATAAATATGAAAAAGGCGGAGTAAATATGATAAATCTTAGAGCTTTCAATGCATTCTACATTTATTTTGGATGAACAGCTTATTCTGTCAGATAAAAGGGTTTTCAAAAATTAACGTGCGGCATTAAATATATTAAAAATATCATGAAGAACCTTAAAAACAAGTTTTGGAATGATGTCTTTGAGGCATGGATTGAATTAAATAATAAGCACTACAATGTATGTAAGGTTGCAGGAGACATGCCATTTTTTTATAATCCAAAAATTGTCAGGGGGGGAAAGTCATTTATAACAAAAATATGTATGACCTGAATAATAGAGTTATTAATGATCTTATGGACGAAAATGGTTCCTGTTATAGTTTTGAGGAATTTTGTAGCATATATCCAAATGTAAGGCTTAATTTTTTAGAATGTGCAGGTATAATACATGTGTAAAGGCATGGATGAAAGCAAGAGACACTAATGATATAATTGCAAAATTACCTAACCATTAATTTTGTCCAATACTCATATTTTTAAAGTGTAAAAAAGCAAAAAAGTTTTATGAAATAATTAATGTAAATGATATTGAAAACACTGAGAAAACAAGACGGAATGATATTTTTATGCCCCGTCATGAATATAGCCGGGGCATATCTTTGTCATGTCTGTCTTCCGTCCTTCCGTCACACTTTGCGTTTCGCTCTGTTCAAAGCTAAGTTTCAAAGAAAGTATCCAAGATATTTTCATCAAACTTCATATGCTGATAGATATTGATGAGAGCTATGCAACTGCATCAACATTTTTTGACCTTGACCTTTTCTTTTACCTTAACACTTTTTTTAAATTAGTGTTTAGCTCAGTTTTTAAAATACCATTCAAGATGGTGTTATCAATCTTCACATGTTGATACAAACTTGCATGAATGATGCTTCTAGGGATAAACACTACCAGACTTGCTTAGGATGCTGGATCTGACCTACATTTTCCCAATGAGTGACCAGGTTAAAGTTTTTTGAGGAGGTCCATTCCTAAGGAACTATACACCCTACCTGAACCAAACTTGCATGGATGATGCATCTTGGGATGGACACTACCTGACTTGCTTTTTGGATGCTGGATCTTACCTACATTTTTATTCCCTAGTAACTATAAGCCCTACGTGAACCAAAGTTGATGGATCTTGCATCTAGGGATGGACACTACCAGACTTGCTCCGGATGCTGGATCTGACCTATTTTTTCATTCCCAAGTAACTATAAGCCCTACCTGAAACAAACTTGCATGGATGATGCATCTAGGGATGGACACTACCAGACTTGTTTGGATCTGGATCTGACCTATATCTTATTCCCAAGTAACTATAACTCCTACCTGAGCCAAACTTGCATGGATGATGCATCTAGGGATGGACACTACCAGATTTGCTTCGGATGCTGGATCTGACCTACATTTTTATTCTCTAGTAACTATAAGCCCTACCTGAACCAAACTGATCAAATTTTATACACATACAAATTTTCATGTTGCCTTACTAATACAATAGTATATCCTCGGGGGGGCTTTCATGTCCTATGGACATATTTCTAGTTTTATTTAGGGGAAAGTGAAGGGAAAAGGATTTTTAATCTTCCTTTTAAAATTACAAAAATTAGTAAACTTCAATGGTTTCAATACAGAATTTTAAACAAAATACTAGGTACAAACTCATATCTATGTTAAATAAGGAAAAAAGATGATAACTTATGTTCTTTCTGTAATATGGAAGAAGAAACAATAATACATATTTTATGGGAGTGTGACAATGTACAGACCTTCCTAACAGTTTTGAAAGACATTGTGAACAAAGGACAGGGTTGCAACTTTCATTTACAAAGCAAAGTTTTATTTTGGGATTTCCAGTCAAAAACAAAGATATTATAACTTGCTGGCTCTATGGATAAAAT